TCTGGACCTGCCCAGAGCCCTGGAGCGGGGGTCTCCTCTGCTGCCTGTGGGGTGCGCTGCTCTAGCAAGCAGTTCTGGGTCCTCCTAGAGTGGGGGACTCATTTGCCGCCACCCCCGGGGGTGCTCAAGGCTCTAGCAAGTACTTCTGTGGCTGCCCGGAGCAGGGGAACTCCTCTCCAGCTACCCGCTGCCCGCGGGAGGCTTGCGGCTCTAGCAAGCAGTTCTGGACCTACCCAGAGCCCTGGAGCGGGGGTCTCCTCTGTCGCCCATGGGGTGCGCAGCTCTAGCAAGCAGTTCTGGGTCCTCCCAGAGTGGGGGACTCGTCCGCTGCCACCCGCGGGGGTGCGGAATGCTCTACCAAGTCGTTCTGTGCCTTCCCGGCACAGGGGACTTCTCTGCGGCTACCTGCCACCCATGGGAGGTGGGCAGCTCTAGCAAGCAGTTCTGAGGCCCGCTTTGTACCTGTATTTTGTGTTCTTAAAAGATCTTCCTTGGATTTACAGCTTGCCGAACTTCTTTCTGGGCTCAGCTCCCCGTCTTTGGCTTCATATATTCTGATTCCAACCAGTTTTTCTTTCTTTGCTCAGGAGCCTCTGTCCAGGGTTGCTACCAGTCGGCCATCTTCCCAGAATCCCCCGGTTACATTCTATTGTAATGGAAAAAATGCTTGGTATTCTTCTTAATCATGTTGAACAGGGACATGGCTAATAAGAAGTATTCATTTTTCACTAGGCCCTGTAATTAACAGAGCTGGTTACACAGGAGCATGGTAATACTCAGGATCTTGAGGTCTTCGAGGGCCTGGGGTGAACCTGAGAGGTCAAAAGCTCTGTGCTTGGGCTGTAGCAGGAGAAAACTCACTGTGGAAAGTTAATAATTCAACAGGGGACCTCACCAAAGATGTAGAAGAAGCAGTCAGAGCCCAAGTCCTAAACCAGGTAGCCCAGAAAGCAGGTAACAGGGAATCCTGGATATGTTTATTGATATTTATTTCGTTTTCTTGTTCTGGTAAATCCCCATGTATCAGACTTTAATATTGTTGCTTTCCTTTTCTCTTTCTTTCTTTCTTTTTTTCTTTTCTTTCTTTCTTTTTTTTTTTGAGACGAGTCTCACTCAGTTACCCAGGATAGAGTGCTGTGGTATCAGCCTAACTCACAGCAACCTCAAACTTGGGTTCACATGATGCTCCTGCCTTATCCTCCAGAGTAGCTGGGACTACAGATTCCTGTCAAAACACTTGGCTAATTTTTCTATTTTTAGTAGAGATGAGGTTTCTGTCTTGCACAGGCTGGTTTCAAACTTCTGAGCTCAAGGCATCTTCTTGCCTCAGACTCCCAGAGTGCTGGGATTGCAGGCATGAGCCACCATGACCAGCTTTTAGACAGTGTTTTGGTAGCTTTACCCATTTATGTCTCAGGATCTTGGTTTACCATTCCATCTTGCACCTCAGATTTCCCTTTTGTTTAGACCATGTTCCTTAGAATTTTCTTCAGTAAGCATTTGTTTGTGGAAAGCTCTCTTAGTTTGGTTTTTAGTTTTTATTTTGCCCTGTTCTTAAATTTTTTTTCTCTGTTTATCATTTTGATTGACAGTTTCAGGGTTTTTTTTTTTTGTACATTGAAGAGATAATTCCATTTTCTTCTGCCTTCCATTGTGGCTGTTCAGGAATCAGTCATCAGCCTCATTGCAGTTCCTTTCTAGGTAATCTTTCTTTCTTTCTGGATGCTGTCAAGACCTGCCATATACTTTGTTATTCTGTAGTTTCACAATAATGAATCCTATCTTCATTTCTTTTTCTCTCTTCCCTCTTTCTGCTTTGGATTCCTCATTCTGAGAAGTTTCATAGCTCTCAACAATCCTAGAAATTTCTTGGCAATTATCTCTATGAAAATTGCATCTTTTCTATTCTCTAGTACATCTTTGTGGAATTCTAATTAGATGTATATTAGTTCTTCTCATGGTATTCTCCATGTTATTTGTTGTTTAAAACTTTGTTTTTAAATTTGTATCAATTTAATTTGATTCATCATTTTTAATGGTTTCTCACTTCTTGCTCATATTTTTCAGACTAATTTCTTTGAGTATGATATACACACTTGTTTTATATTCTGCTTCTAATAACTCTAATGTCTGAAGTATTTAAGGGATTGTTTCTGGCACCTGTAGTTTCCACTGACTGTTATTTATAGTGCCTCATTTACCCTTTGTGAGATTTTGACCGCAAACTCATTTCTTGGAATTTTATCTGTGGGAAGTCTCTACAGTTGACAAAGACTGAGAAACTTTATGACTACTCTCTTTCATGGCTCCAGCTCAAGTATAGTCTGGTGACAGTGTTTCTTCTCCCTGCCTGTAGGAGTAGTAATGGCTTCCTGCTGTTCCTAGTCTCTGGGTACCCCAACATTCCCTGTTAGCTCACTTTGCCATACCTGGTAAATAGTCCTAATTTGAAAAGTCTCTTCAAAATTCTCAACTGCGCCTATCATCTATTTCCTGTTAGGACCCTGTGTGATACATCTCTATAAAGAACACTCACTAGATGCTAGTTATTATTGTCACTGAAGAGATCATTTTCTATTTAGGGAAATTTCCAAGTAAGATCAGGAGAAAATAATTATGAGGACATGTGTTTGAAAAATGATGCATGCGAAGAAGAGCAGCAAAAGAAACCGTCTCAGTCTCCACCTCCACAACCCTCTCCTGGTCTCTCAGTGAAGCCACAAGCTCCTCCCCCAGGACACCATCATCTGCACTCCCCTCCAGGCCCATGGTTAGCCTCCCCCTTTCTCTCCCTGTCGTTTACCTTGGAGGTCCACAAAGTGAGGGAGGTACACAGCTGCCACAGATCCTGGCTCAGCCTTGATGTCCAACAGAGGTCCTGCCACCATCCAGCTGTGCTGTGACATGTTCCCATCCAGGAACTGTTTCCAGGAACAGAACTCAATCTCGATGGTCACTGCCCTTCGCACCACAAAGTGGAGACCTGTATTGTGCCAGTCATAGGTTCCAGACTTGGGGAAGTGAACTCTGGGAAGAAGAGGGACAGGCAGACAATGCATTACACAAACTCAGTGAGTACCTGCTGGATGCCAGACCCTCTGCAGGACCTTCTGAATATAGCAGACTGGTTGCAAAGCCAGACTTCAGGGTCAGAGAGATTTGGGTTTTCATCCTGGCTCCTCTGTTCTCTGACTGTGGATCACTAAGCAAGTCATGTGATCTCCCTATTCTCAGTTTCATCACCTTTAAGTATGGATAGTAATAGCACCCAATTTATAGTTGTGAGAATAAATGACTAATACATGTTGGCAGCTTGACACAAACCTGGGAGAAGTTAGCTGCTTCTGTCATGATAACAAGACAATGATACTGATGATAAAATAGACAAGTGTTCTTTTTTAAAGGGCCTATAGACCAATAATTAATATCATTCTATATTATAGTTTTTTAATTTATTTGGTTTATTTTTAGAGAAAGGGTCTAGCTCTGTCACCTAGGTTGGAGGGCAGTGGTGCATTCATAGCTCACTGTAAGCTCAAATGACCCTGCTGCCTCAGCCTCCTGTGTAGGTAGGATAACAGATCCCAACACCCCTGGCTAAATTAAAAACATATCTTTTTGATAGAGACAGGGATCTCACTATGTTGTCCAGGCTGGTCTCAAACTCTTGGACTCAAATGATCATCCCTCCTACAGTGGTGGGATTATAGGTGTAAGCCATTGTATCTGGCCTACATGCTGATCCTAATGATAAACCCTCACAGATGACAATAACGCTTTACAGAGATGTTAAGTGACTTTTCCAAGGCTTCCACGTAGCAAGTGGTGGGGTCCCAGGATGGCAGTGTCTGTAGATGTAAGTTGTGAATGACACTTTCTCCCAGCTGAAATAATGTCTGGGACAGTGTTTGGTGAGTGTTGTGTATGAGACCATGGTTATGTTTATAGACAGAAGCCCTTGGAGAGCAGGGTTACCATACTAATTTTAAAGTCTTCAACTTTTTAATACAGTACAGTCTTTAGTGCACAGCAGGTATTAATAAGATGGGAATAAATAGATTAAAAGAGATTTAAGCGAAATTTAAGAGACATAACAAACAAAATACAATAAGTGGTCCCTGTTTGGATCCTGATTAAAACAAACCACCTGCAAGAACACATTTTATATATTTGAACAAATTTGAATCTGAACTGGATATTAGATAATATGAACACTTACTGGTGGCTTTGTTAAATGTGATAATGGCACTAATGTTAGGAAAGAAAAGGTCTTTATTTTTATTTTTTTGAGAGGCATGATATAATATTTAAGGATAAAAATCACCTGATGTCTTGAATTTAAAATATTGTAAAAATTTCTGTGAAATAGGAAGTACATGGAAACATAAAAATAACAAAAGAAGGAAAAAGTAAATAGCTAAAATGAATTTGACCAAACTGTGGTTGAAGTTGTATAATGATGACATGGACATTTTTCTTACTCTTTATTTTTGTGTATATTTCAGAATTTTTCCCAAGAAACCATGCTTTTCCTTCATAACACACACACACCCACACACACACCTCCAGTATCTCAACCCTGTCCTTGTCTGCTGGTTTGGCAAGGAGAGGGACCCTAGTGCAGGAGTAGGTGGTTTGCTGACTGTCTGAGGGGAACCAGTGGGAAGAAATTCAGGTAGTTTCTAGAAACAGAACTGGAGGGAGAAACCAGCCTCACTCACCGGTACAGGCTCCTTGTCTCTATGTCAACTACCTCAGCAGCCACGGGTCCTGTGGGGTCCAAGAACTCATCTTCAGTCCCTGGAGGCTCCATGTGAAAGGTCCTCAGGGGAGCAGGAGGAGACAGAGAGAGGGGCTCCATCTGTACTGCCTGTGAGGAGCTTCCCTCTGGAACAGCAGGGCAGTGGTCAGCTCTAGATTCCCCTTTGCCCCCTATACTGGACCTTTGGGGCCCTTTCCAAAGCTGATCTGTGGCAGAGAGTGTGTCTGCAGTCTCCATTCTGCACCTGGGGCTGTCTGCCTGCTGTCTGTGGATGCCCTCCCCACTGCCCCCAGCCCAGCCTCTGCCTGCCTGCCCTTTCCCACTGGTCCAGAGTGTTGTTCTTCCCAGCATGTTCCCATAAGGGCAGGTTGGAAGAAGAACGTGGCTCAGAAGATGGATGGGCAGGGATGGAGAGGTGATTCCCAGGCCTCAGCAGCCCTGAATGGGAGACTAGGACCTGGTTCTGAGTAAGGCCCATGCCACAGAAGTTCTGGAGATGAGCAGCACCAGACCCTGAGGCTGGGGGAAAGGGAAGCAGAAATTCAGGCAGGTTCTAGGTATAAGTGGATCATGCATCCAGGGAATCATGATCCAGGGGATCCTCCCAGGTGGGGAACCTGACATATTGTGAGGCAGGGGGATAGAGTGGATGACCTCCCATGGCTGCCCCTCCCCACCCATCATGGTTCTCCCAGCCTGGTTCCTTCAACTACCTGATTCTCGCCTCTGCCGCTTGAGTGAGAACATGTTACTAGTCTTCTCTCCTCCAACATTAGGGTTCATCACACTTGGCTTCCTGGATATAGAATTGGGAATTGTTCATCCTTCTTAGGTTCTTTTTCGTTGTTGTTCATTTTTTATTTTTATATTAAATCATAGCTGTGTACATTAATGCTGTCATGGGGTACAATGTGCTGGTTTTATATACAATTTGAAATACTTTCATCAAACTGGTTAACATAGCCTTCATGTCATTTTCTTAGTTATTGTGTTAAGACATTTATACTTTACATTTAGAAAAATTCACATGTACCCTTATAAGATGAACCATAGGCATGATCCACCCCAATCATCTTTCCTCTGCCCATCCTTCCCCGTCCCCTCCCCTCCAAGTATCTCAAGAATGGAAGAAAAAGTACCCAATGTACTCAGCCTTACTATGAAACTAATTTATAGCTTTCACAGGAAAGCTATAACCTCCTTAGGTTTTTAGAGGAAGCTAGGGCTTTCTACGTGACATCCCTGCTTAAAATTTAACACTTGCAAATTTGAACTCAAGCCAGTGCTCATTCTATAGCCCTGCCTCTATGAATAGGTCCCTCCCCATCTGCTTGTCCTTCCATGCTGGCCCTGGGGTGCCATCCTAACTCCTCCTCACCCACCCTGAGAGCTGATCACCTTGGCAGGATCTCCTGATAGCTCTGCTTTCTCTTTTCTTCCCTATGACGACCTCTATCCTACTGCTAGGCCCTGGCATCTGAGGCCTGAACCATAGCTGTGTCCCCTGAAAGGTCTCCCTCCTTCACTCTGGTTCCTGTCCAGCCCATTTTTTACACAGTAGCTGATCCATTTTGGAATCTGAGTTCACAG